ACTTTTTTATTTTAAAAACAAACAAGCAAGCCCTGTCCAGATTTAAAAAGTAACGCAAAAGTAACGTAACACACTACTTTCCATAAAAGTAACTAAGTAACGTAATTAGTTACTTTTTTATGGAGTAACGCAATATTGTAATGCATTACTTTTAAAAGTAACTTTCCCCAACACTGTTTTTTAAAGTGTATTTTAAATCTAATATTTATATTTTCTTTCTTTTTTTTTCAATTAAATCAAAACTGTTTTGAATAGTACTAGTTTTAGTTAACAATAACAACACTGCTTTTTAAAAGCTGATGATGCACTGTTTTTTAAAGTGTATTTTAAATCTAATATTTATATTTTCTTTCTTTTTTTTCAATTAAATCAAAACTGTTTTGAATAGTACTAGTTTTAGTTAACAATAACAACACTGCTTTTTAAAAGCTGATGATATTTTCAGTATGGCAGGGTACAGTTGAGAGGATTCTCCTTCATAAACAGTAATGCAGAGTTAGAAATCATATAATCGCTTGCTCTTATCATTACTGAAGTGTTAGGCTGAGTGCTAGCTGTTGTTTAACACTCTACATGGGGCTTTAATTGACCCCGAGCCTCTGTGGTGAGATCTGTCAAAGGGTGACAGGCAGACAAAATACACACCTGGCAACCCTTTTCCCCATCCACAACACCACAATACATGAAATATTGTATTATGCTTTTAGTTTAATGCTACCATCAAACATTATTTACAACATGCTAACGTTTAAAAACCGGTCACAGCTTGTCAGTTTGTTATTGTTAACTCAAACTATTAAAAATAATTCTCAGTAACTGAAATAAAGCTGAAATAAATTATAATTTAACGAAAAACCTAAACTTAAATGAAAATTGGCAACTAACTGAAATAACTAGGCTGAAGTACTAAAATTACTAAAAGTAAAATAAAATTATAATATGAAAATGACAAAAACACATAAAATGACTAAAGCTTAATCTGAAATTAAAATGAAAACTGAAAATATAATATATATTAAATAAATATCAATAAATTACAAATATTTGATACATATGAACAAATATTAATAAATACTAAGATAGCATAATACTAAAATAACACTGCTCTATGTCAGTGGTTCTACAGAAGTTAACATGCTGCCTTAGAAGTCAGCTGTCTATATAGGCAGTGAGCAGCTCACTAGGTTTGGGAAGCTATACAAATAATGTTTTGGTAATTTCTGATATCACCTAAAAACAACATCATCTCCGAAGCATTTGAGGACACTTACTGTAGATAATGGACGAAGGTGGGATCTCGGCCGTTGAATCCTCATACCTCCTTTGGTAGTTAGGCTCCCTAAAAATACACAACGCACTGAACTCAGTAGTGTTCTTTAGCAGTGTTGTGCTTTGCTTGTGTGGTGGTCACAGCAGACTCTGTGCTCCCTTCACTTTCATTTCAATCAAATGAATGTGGAAGAATAAGCACAAAAGCATATGCTTAGAATTTTCGTCTTTTACTGCATCATTTAAAGTTCACATTTGGCAAACGTAATATGGAGGAATTTGTGAAATCAAAAGAAATTCTAAATGCCACAGATTGACCTCTTGCCTAAAACATGGTTTTGGTGCTGTCAAGTCATCCTGTTCTATACACAGTACGTTTAAAGTAATGCAGTACATACACTTAAATTTCAGGTAAGAGCAGCTGTATGAAGCAGTCATCTAGTGTGAACGCCCCTTTAGTCAGTCTGCATTAGTTCTTCCCAAGCCTAACCTTTCTGAGACTCAAAATAGTTTAATAGAATGATGTAAACACCTCCATCTAACATTACTGAGACACGATGTGCTCTGATTCACAATCACAACATGATATGAACAGCTTCCCATGAATCAGATCCCTTATCTGAAAAAGAAAAACATTCAAACTGTACTGAAAAAGCACTCTTTGCTTACACAGAAGGCAAGTCTTGCATGACGTTTACTAGTGCTGTATATATATATATATAAACAAACAAAAAACATTATATTATATACACTACCATTCGATTTTTTTTTTATGTTTTTGAAGTAAGTCTCTTATGTTCACCAAGGCTGCATTTCTGATCAAAGACACAGTAAAAACAGTAAAATTCTGAAATACTATTATAATTTAAAAGAGCTGTTTTCTATTTGAATATATTGTATTTCAGCATCATTACTCCAGTCTTCAGTGTCACATGATCCTTCAGGAATCATTCTAATATGCTGATTTGCTGCTCAACAAATATTTATTTTTATTATAAATGTTGAAAAGAGTTAATACTTTTGTGGACACTGTGATACAAAACAATAAAAAAATTTTGGGATTGAAATCTGTTGTAACATAACAAATGTCATCTGTTCTGAACAAAACTATTAATGTCTTTCAAAAAAAGAATCATACTGTCACAAAACGTCTAATTGGCAGAGTATGTATATATAAATCTCCCTAATTAATTTCTCAGCCTTACAAAATGACACTTAATAGGGATGTGTAACTAAGCTCACGTCGTTACTGAATTCATATTGATTTCTTCTCTTGTTACCATATTTATGTCATCATCATAGTGACACTTATCACCCAATGCAAATGTCTTGATGTGCTTCCTAATTGAGGATTACTGTAGCTCTTACCTGGAGAGGTTTGGTTCTGGTATGGACTGCATGTCTTTGTTGCTCAAGTTCTCCACCACAGGAGAGTCCAGGTTTGTCGAGCTGCTGCTGAGACGATCACTGCTCTCGTATCCAGATTCAGTGCGCTGGAATTTCCAGTTATCAGTCTGAATGGTGAGGTTACTGACGCTTGATTTAACCCTGTCCTCTGATTCCAGCGAGCAACTGCTGCCCATGTCCTGCCGCTGCTCGTCCTCGTAAATCGTCATTAAGCTCTTGGGTTTGCATTCTTCTCGTCGGACCCACGCCGACTCTTCGCTGTCCTGAGTAAAGGTCTGTCTGCGAGAGTTGTGGGAGTTTTGATTATTATCGCTGTTTATTATGCTGTCGACGTTAAGCGCCTCTCGCATCGGCCTCCACGCTCGATTCGGCCGGCTGCGAGGGTTTCCGTACGTCCGGGAGTCCTGACTGCTGTCCGTATCGTAGCCATTGGCCACATCCAGCCTCCGAGAGCGGCTCTCTCCAGGGGGATGAAGCGGGACACGAGGCTGGGACTGAGAGCGGGGCTCGTGGCTGTACTGAGTGTTAGTAACAGTCCAGTGCTCGGCTTTCGTCGGACCCCTGCCCTGGCTGCTGTAGAGCCGCGACTCCAGATGCTTGAAGCCGTTCTCCGGAGGTGACAGCGAGCGGGAATGAGGCTTGTCAGGGGAGTCTGGGGAGGAGAAACATATAGTTACACAACAAAGATTATTGGAGTTTTACAAGAAAAAACTATTTTAGTCTTTCTATTTCAAGTTCAATTCAATGTGTCACTTCCTGTTTCTTTGTAATTATTTATGAAATTTATTTCTGAGTGAAAATGTTTTTTAAAGGGGTCATATGATGTTGCTAAAAAGAACATTATTTTGTGTATTTGGTGTAATGAAATGTGTTTATGTGGTTTAAGGTTAAAAAAACACATTATTTTCCAC